TTGCCACGTTTATTAAAATTGTTCACCTCAGTCATTTATGTTCACTCCCGACTTAATAGAGACTAAAGAAAAGTAATAGTGAAGGATCTCTAACTTCTTTAGACTTATTTGAGTATGCTACATATATGTACTCGTATTCATAAAACATATTTATCAATATGATGGAGCCTAAACGGTGACGCTAAATGGAGCCTACCAGCGATCCAAGTTCGGTGCTGGCCATTGCCTATGCCATCATTAGGGTCCTCGTCCATTTAAGGAACTTTGGTATAAATACAGGCGTGAAGACGTGGTAGGTGAAATTAGTCGAGTCCCTTCGTCAAGGACCACTTATTGAAGTGTGTTCGGAGAAGCCCAATAAAGGACTCCCCAGTAGAGGCCCGCCTTGAATGGCACTCCAAAGTCCAAGGAAAAACAACACAAGCCACACGGGGATTCAAAGTATGCACTCGAAGTGCGTGTGAGGAAAAGCTGGCGAGTGTTTGAATAAGTGAAGTGCATGTATCGGACATTTTGATTAGCTTTGTGGCTGGTCGTCTGCCGGAATCGGCCATATGGAAAGGCCGGGTCTTTGGTGCAGAGTGTACTTGATCATGAGACACTTTTTGGAAGGGAAGTACCCACTGAAAAAGTCCAAGGAGGGCAGCACTTTTTGTCGTTCTAGTTCACACGTTGGCAATGGGCCGAGCTTTCGTTGCTGAAAAATTAATATTTTGACAACAAAGTTAAATTAGTTTCACCCCTTCAAAGTGGGCCTCCCACCTTCCACCTCCCACCACAGCAGAGCTCAAGAGCCAACATCGAACACCGAAACCAAAATCAAAATCACACTGTTCCACTTGTGAAGGACCCTCGACGGGAGGAGGGTGGAAGGGTGGAGGGGTGATACGACAGGTGCCAGGTGCTCGGAGCTGGGAAAGCCACCCTCCCCCACCCCCCTGTCAGCTGACTTTGGCCCCAATCCCCCGTTCGGCAGAAAACAACCATAAACGCCGCTCCGCACATGGAGCAACTGCCTCACTTCCTCACGAACAGCGCACACACGACGCAAATTGCTTAGCATACTTTACGGCTTCAATTGGCAATTGGCAGCCTTTGAATTTCGTTCCCCCTCCCCTTCCCCCTGCGCCCCCTGCGGCTCCATCGTCCTTCTCCGCCCACAAGGTTCGGCTGACGTGGGGCGGTTGACGGCTTGAGGGGCTAAGCCAGGATCCCCAGGACCCCCAGGACAGCCCCAAGAACTCCGCATGCCTGTCGGCTGACAGGTTGGCAACTGCTGTTGTTGTTGTCGGTTCCCTGGAATGGCCGCTCCCTTTGAAGGCGTCCTCGAAAAGCAGGCCGAGGAAAAAGTTTAATAAGTTATTCGCTGAGGAGAGCGGTGCATTATATTCGTGATAAACTACAAGATGGAAGTCGTTCGTGCCTCATAAGGACAGACTGTCCGCTCGTCCGCCGGCATAAACATCAACATTAACTGGAGAAACCAAAGTCTGCATTCCGAAAACTACGTTGATTTCGACATCCCCTCAAAGACTGCTTTAAGGGGTTATATACCTTTTTGAGCGAAAAAAATGAGGGAACTTTGGATTTTTTTTCAGGTGTGTAGCAATTTTTTTTATGATACTGAGGTTATTATTTATTGATAGTACATGTTTTTATAGACACAACAAACGTTTGTTCTTAAAAAAATATAAATAACTTTCGAAGTTATGGCAATTCTCTCATAACCCTTTTTTTGTTATAGCGGCTTGCGGTGACCACGATGGAAGTCCAGCGGGTCAACTAAAATCAATAAACCAAAAAATTTTTATTAGTTAAGTATTATTTCTAGTTCGTCATTGAATTACTTCAAGAATATTTGGTTTTTTCTGCATACAGTAACAATTTTTTCAAAAAATTGATTTTTCGAGCTCTAAAAATTTTATTAAAAATTTCTTATCTGCAAAATCGAAATTGCCGCAGAAAAACTGATTCAATGGCGAACTCGGCACAATCATTACGAATGTTTTAAAAAAAAATTGAAGAAGATCGATCAAATAGTTCTTGTGCAATCGCGGTCACAGCAAAGGCACCTTTGGAAAAAAACGACTTTGAGATAATCGCATTCAAAGTTTTACGTTGCGTTACAAAGAGTGACGAACCGCGCCTCAAAACGCTGTTTTCCTATCGAACTATTATTCGGATCTCTTCAAAAATTTGGGAAAATGTTCTCTAGGGGATATACTTTAGGATTCAGCTAAAAAAAATTTTTCGTTTTTTAAAAAAAAAAAGGTATATAACCCCTTAAGTTAAGCAAAAGGTAAGTTGATGATCACAAAGGAGAACAAGAAACATCTGAAGCGATCGTCTTCAATATGAGTTGAAGAGGTTGATCGCTAAATAGAAAAAAGTTTAACACTGAAACAGTCTCATAACATCACTGTATGGGTACCAGAACAAACATTTGTGCCCAGAATGACACAAGTTTATACAATTAAATTTGAACTATGTATTTTGATTCAAAATAACCGAGCTGAAAAAGAAGCCCGGCGAAGCACAGAGTCATCCGTATTTAAGTTGACGGAATCATAACTTAAACTCTAAGAAAGATCATCATATTAATAAACAATAAATATTGAAAAAAATTCTCAAACTGTCGGGAAGAAATAAGATTTATTTAAAAACACAACATACCAGTTTTTTTTTAGAGTTTTTTGAATAAGATTATAAGATTATTCATATTCATGCAGATGAACAACTGAATTTACAATTTTATTTTTCTTGCTGCAAAATTTCTGATTGTCGTAGCCATACCCAGTAAACTGGAGAACATTTTTTCCCATCAAGATAGTTGTCATATCACATAAGCGTTCTTGAGAAATGGTACATCTTTAATAAGTTTTAATTAATTTTAATTTGGAACTAGTAGAGAAGCAAGCATGAATTTTAAAATACGAACCTTTTTAATAACCTTTGAATCGAGAAAAAAATGTCATTAAAATCCGACAACGTTATCATATAGCTGCCATAGGAAAGATCGCAAAATCTATATAGAAATATCGGAAATAAAATTATAACATCGTTGTTTTTTATCAGACAAGCACCATTTTAGGACTATAGAGTTTTCTAATGTGTCTTGAATTACGAATTAAATTTTTTCAAAATCGGACAACTATATCATATAGCTGTCATATGAATTATAGTCGAAGATATGGAAAATGTATAGAAAATAGCTTCGATGTTGTTAAGTATGTTAATGTATTTTGTTCTCTTGTTTCTCTTTTTCTTAAGCAGCTATGAGATAAAGAAGTTACTACAGAGCTGTCTAAAATACCTGTTCAAGAATTTTGGTAATATGTATTACATAAAATATCTTCAATTGTCTCGACCATAGGGTACCCGTTACTCAAATAAACAAAACAAAAAAAGCGGGACTGAAAGTGAAAAGTTTGAATTACGCCCCTTGCTCTTTACATCGAGCAAAGTGGTGTTTTCTTTAAAGAGGTTATCAATTTGTTTATTTTTGTTTTTTTGTAAAGAATTTATAAGTGGGTTGACCCCTGAAGAGGATAGTATAAATCCAGTCAAAAGTTTGCAACGCAGAAAAGGAGACTTATCAGACCCCATATAGTTCATATAAAATCTTGATCAGCAACACCATCTGAAACGTCTGTCCATCTGTCTGCTTCGGTTTCGATGAAACCTTTCCTAAAATTGTGTAGTTATTGTCGGATCGGATGCATTTTGCTCGACAGTTAGCAGTTCATTCTGACATTAGGTATTAATGTAAAACAATTAAACATTGAATAAACTTATTGCCACACCTAGACACTAAGCACACAGAATAACATAAACAAATTGAAGTAAACCAAAAATAGACCAGGTCAGTGTTCTTTCACTTTATTTTAAATGTTCTGCGCTCCTTTTCGATCGAATACCATGTTTGGCTGTAGACAAATTCGGTTGTGAGAGGATTGATTCCACCGACCTTTCAATCGCCTTTCACCAGCTTATGACACCTGCCTTATTATGGCCGTCATAGCTGTCAGACGGGAACCCTTTCCCTCAGAGACTTGTATAAAATCTTCATTACTTCGGAGCGCTCGTACTGCCTCTTTCCCTGATGGCAGACCTGAAGCGAGTTTCTATTTGTTTTCCGAAACCTCACTCCCGAACTCACCCCGAGTTCACTTTTGACAGGTCAGACAGTTCAGGTGTGAAGTAGTTTGCCTCGTCAGGCAACTGCGTTTTTAGCTGCCTCCTATTGATTTTCCACCGCTGTCTGCCCTTCATAGGTGCCAGGACCATCACTCCGATGGTCCGACTTAAGACCCAAGGAACCCACAAACGACCGGTGTATTGGAAAATAAAAGAATGGCTCTTTTCTGATTACCACTTTTCTCGTGATTTCGCCTTTTCTTTGATGTGGCATTGCCGCAACTTTTGTGTCAAGTCATTGACTTTAGAGACGAGGGCGAAGGTGTCGCCATTGGTTTCGAATCCTTTCCAGGTTTACAAATCGTTTTACCTTACAGGACTCCCAAGGTCAGTAGCAAACCTGAACGGGGAACCTTTTTTCATAGTTCGTTTTATACCCTTTCAAAGGTGGCTTCCTTGCTAAGCTGGCAACACCGCGAAGAACCCACAACCAAGTAGTAATGTTTATTAATCGGTAGTATAACAGTCGAGTTTATCTAATCATCTCACTACCGTTGAAAAAGAAGACCCTCCAAAACCGCTATAAAAAAATCATACCTTCGTTTATTTGTCGTTCGACAAACAGAAAGCGTAGCCTCTTATTTTCTAGCAAACTGCGTTCAAGATAAAGCCGTTTTAACCAACTTAATCATTTGGTAGCAAAGGTAGTAAAATTAACGTAAAAGCCGAAAAATAATATGAAATTATAAGGGTTCACAATGCAAATATATTATTTTAAGTATCGTTCATTGATTCTTACTTAGTTAACAAAAACAGAAACTTTTAAATAGGAAACTTTTTAATGTCATGAAAGTTTATCTACATTTTGACACCGTTTAAAAATAAATAATCATATTACATTTTTCTTTTCTGTGGCAGCAACAAATGCAAAACTTTGCAGACATTAAGCCCTTTCAAACTGTCACCAAAATCTGAAAAGAAAAGAAAAGGAAGCTAAAGGCAACATTTTCTTAAGGGGGAAAAAAACAAAAAATACCAACTTAAAAATTAAACCTAGAAAACAACTAAATATACTGTACCTAAAAAAAATTCAAAATTACTTATTGTAAAAATAGAAATTTGTTTGTTAGTAATTCTATTCATTTTCTCATATTTTAATGGCATTTACTGTAATCCCACACACAAAAAAAATACTTGGGGAGGCAACTGCTAACCTCTGCAAGGGTATAAAAATTCAATCCCCTTCAGAATTAGGTAAACAATTTGATATGCAGTTTTTGCTTTTGTAAACACATTGCTCTCTGTCTCAGAAACTTTTCGAATTTTCAAAGTTACGTTAAGCTCTGTCGCCGAAACCCTTGATAATGTTTGATTGAATGTTTGCCAGCGACATCGGGGATTAACTACGGCATTCCAAAAAGGTTATCTAAACTGCAGGTCTGCTGGGGCCATCCAGACATTCGCTGGATAGGGCTTGCCCTGAATTTATTGTGTATATTGGGCATCTACACACATTGCACTGTTGGTTATATATATTATATATTATATATTGAAAAGTATTCAACCACTTAAACTTATTCTTCGTGGTAGATTGGCTTCATCTACTGTGTTGTTCTTATAAGTTTAGTTTGTATCAATAATTAATTATTATTATCAACAGTTATTTAATGCATTTTTTCTGAAACTATTCTTTGTTATTTTAGTTCATAAGGAATTGAAACTATTAAGTGTTTTTGAATGAAATACAGGTTTGAAAATACCTTTGGCTCGGTTACGCTCAAAATATGAACTCTTTTTAATACTTACTTAACTGCAGAATATAATTCTTTGTTTTTTTCAAAAACAGTGAGAAAACTAAAAACCAATTGTTGTTAAAGAGAGCAACGGACAGAATTGCCGTACTCTAAAGTTCTGGTAAGTAATATTAACAGTGGAAAACTAACTGTAATTGATTTTATAAGATACAGGATCTTGCGCTAACAAGTATCGGACATAAAACGGAACTAAAGTAGATACGCCACTAAAATGCGTAAGGGCGGAAGGCTGGGCGTGGACCGATTTGAATACAATGTTTAAATGCCACATCGGATGTAATGTAGACATTTTTACCCCAAGTACAAGTTAAAATTGCTTTTTCCATTCGTACTAGCAATTGTGTAAAGTTAATGAGATATTGTCTTATCGACATTGCATTAGGCATGTTATTTAACTGACGTTAATATTCCTTGTTCGTTTAAAAGAAGTATTTATTAGTGAAAACTTTTGGAGTCGTTCTTATGGATTCCACCCCGCAGAACACGCCCACCGGGATCCACAGCCCCTTATTTACCTTATGTAAATGCTTATCAACAGGCAGCCACCGTTTCGTTTCCAGCGTGCCGTCTTATACGCCGCGCCGTAGCAGAGAGAGCAGAGAGCGAAGAGAAAACTGCGAATCTCTTCGCCGCTTTTCAAGTTAATACAAAGTAACGTTGAGTTTGTTTTGTTTGTGTGGGCGGTCTGGGTGGCGAAAGGTGAAGCAGGTCTTTAAATGAAATCAATAATTTTAAATATTTAATGTGGCAGTTATCGAGGTTTTCAAAACAGCGTATGGAAAAAGATGTTTTCCTTTTAAAAGCTTGGTATGCACATATGGACATTGGAATAATAAATACTTATAATGGAGAAAATGTGTACCTTAGTGGGTATTTAATGACCAGAATTATGGACTCACCTGTGCCAGCAACAACCCGCATCGCCACCCAATGCGGTCCACACGCCGCTCTCTGTGCTCTTTCGGCTGCCGAGAGAGTTTCGTTGAGTTGCGCCAACGGGAAAAGAGACTGCCGCTCTCCGCTTTCCGCTCTTGCGTCCAACTACTTTCTCTTCGCAACTCCCCTTTGAGTGCCGCCACCATGAGTGTGTTTGTGGATGACATTGTGGCGCACGTTGGGGCAGCTCCAATTGGCAGCCTAGTAGTCGTTGCGAAACTTCTGCTGAAGAAACGTGCCACACAATTGGCGGCGTTTGGACTATCGTTATCGGTCATCAGCAATCGGTTGTCGGTATTGTTAATCGACTATCGTCTGCCGTTAATCGCGAGTGTTTAGCGCGACCGTTGAAGCGGGCGAGTTGGGGCCGCCGACTTGTGTTGGCCCACGTGCAACAGCATCATCCCCATGATTTTTGGGGATTCCGAAAGTCCAGGTGAGGCCAGATGCTTTCCCACCGCCTTCCCCTCCCCCAGTCACCACCCACCGGAAAAACCGATTACCCGCCCCGAAAGTTGGTCGCGGTTGCCCTTAAACTCAGTTAAATAAAGTTTAACGACGTCTAATGTCAATTTAATTATGTGAAAATAAAATTAGTTTTCTCGTTCTCCGGTTCTTGGCTTATCTTAATGGGGGATGAATGGTTTTCGGTCAGGGGTGATTAAATAAAAAGTTTACGCGCAAGTTGTAACTATTTAAAACTTTTTCAAAGAAATTGACGCATAAAAAAAATAAAATATTTTGTAGGAAAATGCTAACAATAACATAACCTTAAGATTAAATCATATGTGAATACCTGCAAATATTTGTAAGCAAACAAAAAAAAAATGATTGGAGTAAAAAAAGAAGCTGCGTAAGCTCAAAATATATGTTAAAATTAAAATTCGATTTTTTTACTCTACACTGACTTGTTTGTACAAGGCTTGTATAATAAAGTACTATTGCGATCAAAATTAAAATACAATTCTACTGGTTTGGTTTATCGCGAAATTCGCCTTAATTAGCCTATATGCCTTTTCGGTATCATATTATGTAATCGTTGTTGGATTGGGTTCGGCCTCAATTGGCTTAAAATTTATTTTACTTCTATACCAAACTGACTTATTGATTAGAGGTTAGTAGATGGACGAATGCAGGGACATTTCATATAATCCATACGTACGCACTTTGAAACAACCTTGATAAGGAGTCGTGGGAACGAATGGCGGGGCTCAAATGTAGTCCACAGCCGCTTTACCCCTCCCAAAGCACTTCAGTGCAGTTGCTTTTAATTAAACAGGAGAGCGGACAGTGAAGGCCAAAAGTGAGTTTGAAATGGTCGAGCAGATAAAACTGCAATAACTATAAAGCCGGGGTGGCGTAAGTGCCATCGAAGTTGGGGAGTCGCATGCCGGGCGGACCGAACACGCACAAATTTGTTAAGCGGGTCACGTACTCCGGGAAATCCCACCACCCCTCCCAGTGTTGTCATCAACACGAAAATAAAAATAGAAAATTAAACTTGAAGCGCTCAAAATGGCAACAAATGGTCTTGCTCCCACCTTACGCCCCTGCGAAAATTGATTTCAATAAACTTTAATTCGTTTTCCCTCTGAAGTCATCGGAGCAGAAGCCCTGAAAGTGACGCAACAAATTAAACGCCAATAATTTAAAATAATTGCTCAGTCAAAAATATCATATAAAAAGCGACCGAAGGCAGCGGTCAGAACGATTTGTTTATGGCTTTTAAATCTAATTAAATTCCCATAAAGGCTTCGAACGAAGCCGAAAAGAGCGGAGTAAAGAAAACAAATAAAAGGTATTTTAAGTTCAAATGGGCCCTGCGATAACCCTAAACGGTCAGATAGGACGACCAGGAGGGGGAGGTCGCCTCGGGGCGGGGACTCGCACTGTGATCGCGGCAAAGGGTTGCAAGTCAGAGGTGCGTGTGGCAATCGACGAGGTCAATCCCAACCTGGCCGAGGAGGCGGAGGGAGTGGAGATTGCACTAATGACCTGCATTTCGTATTCACAATTCAAACAGAGGTGTGGAGTGCGTGAGATCCGGGGAAAGGTGAGAGGTGTGGGAACCAAACAACTGGCATGTGTCGCAGGGAGGCACGCGAAACGCAAACAATGCGCTGCCTTAAACCTGTTCAATTCGAGGTTCACCGACCACTTATCGTCAGCGAATTATTTGTCATTCAAAAGTGGAACCGGCCCCTTCCGACCCCAATATACCTGCTACCCAGAGTCCGCTTTCGGCCACGAATTGTTAACAAGCGTTCTATTTTGTCGCTCGTTGGTAGCAAGCTTGGAGCAAGGTAGCCCCCGCTTTCACACTTTTGGGTAACCTTTGAATAATCGCAGTGCTTTTGCATTTGAATGCGGTTGCTTCTCGACTCTCCCGAAACTCTATCCTGAATTACCCGTTCTAGCCGTGCCAAGCTCATCCAGTCCAGCTCCGGACCCACCCCGACCACCTCGGATCGGCTGAAATGAATACCCCGCACAACCACTCACTCTGCGGTGGGGCGGCGAGGTTCACAAGACCTGAAAGTGATTCCTCGGGAACGAGCCTCGATTCAGGGGCGTCAGTCGGACCGCCAAAGTGCTCGAGAGCATCACTCTCACGCTCGAAAATCTCGGATGCTCTCGAAAAACAAAAAGCTCTGATAAGAACAGTGCGTCGGGTCAGTGGGTGGATGGGCTGTGGGCGGGTGGGGTCACCATTCTCGCGAAAAGCTCGGAATGTGGCGAATGTGGCGATATATAACAAGTAGGTTGCGCACAATTTCTCTCAGTCTCCGCGAGCTTTCCACTCAGAATGACCGCGATCGCCATACGCCGCATGCGAGCCGAGGACTTCGAGCAGGTGGAGGCCTTCCTCGCCGTGCACTTCTTCCAGCAGGAGCCGCTCATGCTGATCCCCCAGGAGGACCCGGCGCAGGCCGCGGTGACCCCGGCGGAGACAGAGCTGCACCGCGGCCTAATTGCTCAGGGGCTCTCCCTGGTGGCCGTCGAGGGCGAGCGCATCGTGGGCGTGGTCCTGGCCGGGGAGCTGCTGCCCGCGGACCTGGAGCGGGAGTTCCGGGAGAGCGAGCAGAAGGAGCCCCAGTGCCACCTCGAGAAGATCCACAAGTTCCTGGCGCGCATCGAGCGGCAGGCCGACGTCTTCGCGCACTTCGGCGTGGAGCGGGCCCTCTACCTGTACATGCTCGGCGTGGACTCCTCCGTGCGGCGCCAGCGGGTGGGCTCCCGCCTGGTGGCGGCCCTCATCGAGCTGGGTCGCGAGCGGGGCTTCCCCCTGGTGGCCTCCACCTGCACCAACGAGCACTCCAAGCGCCTCATGGCCGGGCTCCAGATGGAGTGCGTCCTCTCGCAGGACTACGCGGACTTCAAGGACCCCCGGGGGAGGTGGTCCTGCGGGCGGCGAGTCCCCACACCTCGGCCAGCGTCGTGGGCATCCGCCTGTAGGACCCCGAGGAAGCTCTCCAAAGAATTTAGATACACAGCTAGGCTTAGGGCAATAAAGGAAAAGTGAAAAACATTTGGAAACTGCACTGACGTTCCTTTAATTTCGAAATGGAATAATCAGACCATTCTGAGCAGAATTCGTTCAACTTGCGCTTAGAAATCTGGCAGTTTACCAGGAGAGGAAAAGGCTTTCTGTTAATGAGTTTCTGAAAATGTTTGAAAAGGTTCTGTTAACAATCTTACACTTTGTCCATGGCAACCAGTAACTCAGTTAAATTTTGACCGGTGCTTTTGCTGAGTTCTGTGGGAATTAGGAAAATTTGTATAGTTATAGATCAGTAAGTGTGTGTTTAAAGAATTCTCTAAAGTGCATTCTTCATCATTACCACCATTCGAGTCGAAATATGCAAGCTATTATCCCATCATTTGTACGTTTTTCTATAAAAATATGGGTTCTATTTCAGGTAGTACATCTACAACAAATGTTGCTAGGGAAAGTTTGAGCCTAATAGAGCCTTTCTTTTAATGGCTAGCTTATCTCCACTTTCTGACCAACTACCCCACTAAAATACTCTTTCAGTAAATTTGTCAGACTTTAAGAAACCTTGTGCTTTTTTGGGTTCCACCGCAAAATAAGAGTTGACTTGCCTGATGCTCCCTGCTGCATTGACTTTTCTCTGCCTTGGAACCTAATTCATCGCACTTCATCTGCCATTAAAGGGCAACAGAAACGCTGTCGGAATGTCGGCTGCGCCGCTTTTATTCTTCTATACTAAAACTAATTGTTGTTTTATTGTGTCTGTAATCCGATCCAATGGCGAGCACTTACCACATGCGACACAAGCGAAAAGCGTAAATAAGATATTCATCACCGCCTTATCTCGCCACTTGGGGCATTGACTTTGGCTTCGAAAAAAGCGATTACATAACATCTGCGTTAGTTTGTCTGTCGTTTTTGTTTTGATTGGTCGCAGCGCAGAAAACACTAATTTGTTGCTCGCACTCGGTTACCTTGGAAGCTTTTTCTCGCATAATGACTATTTTTAAGCTTTTTCAATTCGTAATGTTTGCGGCTTCCCAGGCAATCTGAGCCACTCGGACCCTATATCACCTCAGCACTAATAATTTGATAAGATTGTAGCGGTGAGAAAAGAATTCTCAGCAAAAGTCTTGGGGGTAACTTAAAGTTTATCGGAAACAGTTAAATATACTTTTGAGCGTATATGGTAGGCGGGAAACTCAAAGATGTGAGAGGAGATACATAAGAGTTGCGATGGAGGGGTCATCGGGTGGCCAGACAAAGTCCTGGCCGGTTGAAAACTCCACAAACAGACAAAAACCGAAGTAATTTACATGTCTGCAGGATAAGTTCGACAGTAAACCAGTGGCCATGTGGAGGTTTTTGGCAGCAAGGAGGGCAGGAGGCTTTTAGGAGCGGCATTCTGGTCCGTCTGTTCGGCATGTTTTGCCAGACTGGCAACAGTTGCTGCTGCTCCCTGAATAAGCCGAAATCCAAGAGGGGAGATGCCGAATTGCTCAATCAGAAGTGAAGATTGAAAGCCACTAGTAGGGTTAATTTTAATTAAACCTAAACGGTTTTGGGAAGTGCTATTCAACCAGTGCGCCAAAAATCGAGGGAACACATCCAGCGCTCGGAGCTCTGAACTATGTTAGCTCGACATATTTGCAAAGCACAACAGTTTTGGGGCACTGAAGTTCCTCCAAATATTTGCGCAAGTGAATTTTTGATTTATGCCAGCAAAGCGTGACCTGAAAATTTTGCATACTCTGCCAAACTAATTAAAAGTGAAAAGTTGACATTTTCTAGTTGAATTTTTGATTTATGGCGCGAACTTCCCAACCGCAACGGGAAATTTAATGAAAATTCAATCAAAGTTTGCGGCACTCTCGGCGAGCTTACGTTGTTGCAGGGAGGAGAACTTGCAACATATGGCTGCCCCGTACGGTCCGACCTCCGCTGATTTTGTTATTGTTTAAGTGGCCCTAATGAAGATTAATTTAGAGCAAGTGCCACACTCTTTGTGCGAACGTGTGTGCGGCTGATTGCCTATAAAAATGCTGAATTAACTAAATCTCGCTGACGCACCGAAATATTCGATGGCTCGCGGACTGCAACATACATGAACGTTTCAGGTGCAAATGAGCCAGCTATATAAAATACAATGGAAGGGGCTTTGAAAAGCAATTAGGCTATTCATTTTAGTATAGCTTTGTTTGAAGCAATTAAAACAAAAAGAAGATAGCCAGCTCAGCAAGACTGCGTGGACATAAAACTGATATTTGTCTGACGTTTAGATAAAAGTAGAAAAGTTTTAACAAAAAAGTAGTGCCGCACCTTTGTCAACTTTGCAACATCGTTTTTCCTTTTGATGTCAAGATTATTCAATAGGGAAATCTGCAGTGAAATCCTTTGTTTTTATTTGTTCATGGCATAGTTCATCCGATCATTAAAAGTAGATTAAAAAGTGAACATAAATATTTGTACCCTTGCAGAGGGTATCAGAGGGGTCAGGAAGTCCCCATAAAGTACATAAGTACGAGTATATACCTTTCAGATCTATATGGACATTTGCCTATCTATCAGTTTTAAAGCTTTCCCTCTGAAATCGTACTTGAAATCTGGTTGCTATTACAGCCCGTCTGTACTCGTACATATCTACTAATATTTAAATAACACGCAATAATAACGCGTCTTTGTCTAAATTAATATTTCAAAAAGCTCGAAATCAAATGGACTCCTCTCTGTTTTCATGATCACAATTTTGAACATTGTTGTCTAGCAGCAGCCACACAATAAAAGTAAGCGAATTAGAGAAATAATGGCATAAAAACTTAATCATTTGTTTTAATCAACTCACCGAGTTTTTGCCGTGGCAGAAATAGTTTAGTGTGAGTTCGCTTGAAACAAATTAAAAACGTTTAACGCTGCCACAGCAGCAAATGTTTAAATGTCCAGAAAATACCGTCGTCGAACACAATATGGTTTAATTAGTTTCACGGACATTGATTATACTATTGATTTTATCTGGAGGTAATTAATCGATTAAACAGTTTTAATATTCAGCTCCGTGGGGGACATTTCTTTGAGTTGGCTTTCCCGGAATGGAATTCAACCAATTTGGGTTTTGTTAATTAAGAAAAAGGTGCGCGACGAACGAAAGGTCCCATGAATATTTAAATATTTAAAGAGGCAGATTCTGCCGCTTCGATTTGGATTGGCTGCCCACACAATGTGTAGCACTTTTTCAGTTTTATCCGTTAATCTGTGTTTTCATAAGTAGTCAAACCACTTGCTGGTAAGTAAAGATAAGTATCTTTCCCAAAAAAAAATATTCATTCCAAAATCCAATAACGAGGCATTTTAAGCCCAACACAATTGAATTATTTTTACTAACTCTTTAAATATGGATTTAACATATTTAAAGCTTTCCTTATAAAAATTGTACATGTTATTTGTAATATAAAATTGTACAAAAACCTGTGAACCTTTAAGGCTTAATTGCTTTATCTATGCCGAAGCCGACGAATAAGGTTTCTTTTATGTTAGGAAGGCGAAAAGTAGTTGGATATCTCTGAAATCATAACACTAATAATAGATGATAACACTGTTTATTAAGACATTCAGATTATTGTGCATTTTTATTCAAAAATAAAGAGATCGGCATGATCTCCTCAGTTTGTCATGCACATGTTGTGACATTTGGTATCAACCATATTTCAGCAACAAATCTGCAAATATTTTGGTCTGGGTGGAAATTCTCTGTCGCTCCGATCGAACTGTCATCACAATCCAATAATTTTTAAATGTTTAATTAAAATGAACAATAAAAAAATAAAAAATTGTACCTTATTTACAAGCATAATAAAAGCTAAACAATCCCCAGGGAGCAGACCGCTCAAACTACACTTGTTTTTGAAATCGATTTAAAAACTGCGGACAGGAAATAAAATAACCGAAAAAATGATTTATGTGTCTGCGCAGTGCGGCACACTTGCGTCCACTTGGAAACCTCCCAACCTTTCGCAAGACCGAACCGTGGACTAGCCGCTCTCTGTGACGGGGTTCCAGCTCAGGTTTTCTTATCGGCGGGCTAGCCTGGGATCTGGGAAGAGAGCCATGGCCAGAAGAACCCTCTTAGCGGCGCCTGCGCAACAGGTACAGTGAGCCGAACGTGGCCAAAACTCCGGTTCTGCAACTTGGCATTGTTGAATTTCGAGTACCGGACAGCGGGCAGCGGGCGTGTGCGTGACTAATGCCTTCTGATTTATGAACTTCTCGAGAGGAGTGAGAGTCGTTGTCTGTGGGCGACCTTGGTCACGTTTCCCGTTGTCATCGGCGTTCTTCACAGGGTCCGCCGCCACCTGTTGGTCGGGGATGGCACTAATTTTTCGTGGGCGTGGCAAGGATCTTTGACCCCCAACGTAGCACAACAAGATTGGACAACTAAGTCGATTTGAGATACCTTTTTTGATAGCCCACTGGACAAAACCTGTTTCGGTCGCTGAAGTCGTCGATGGCAAAAACTGCACTGAGAGTAAATCAGTTTTGATACGAGGAAGCCTTCCTAATCAGTATTAAAATGGGGGCTTGGAATCAAAAGTGTACTACAACATTAACATTGAATCACACGAAATGATAATTTAAATGTGTAAATACCTGTGTATCCGATTTTTATTGTTTGTGCCAAAATAAAGTCATTGGAACAGCTAAGGTGAACTTTTAACCTTCTGGACCATGTTGGTAAACATAAATTTGACCAATAAATATAATTTTAATGAACAAAATATACGCTCTGAAGATAGATGATAGATAGATAAAATTCGTTTTTTAATTTTTCCAACTAGAAATAATAATGCAGTGACAGTATTCAATTGACATTGGTTGCCTAAAATGATGCCAAAATGCAAGCGCTCGTCACTATAATCCCATTAATCACATTCTCGGATGGTTGCGCCCAGATCATAAACGACACATTATGTGTGTTACAGTTTTGGACATCAACGATCTTCACCTGACATTAAGGTTCCCGAACTAAAGGGAACATTTCAGACTTTTTGGCCAACCCACTTCAGTTCGGGGCCGAATTCTTGCTCTTTAGAAATGCTAATCATATTACACATTAGCTACCGCCTCTGTGGGCAAACATTTTTCTCGTTTCCATAATATATAGAAACTTTCCAACCGCACAGCCTCTCCCCCACCTCCTCCCCCGCCCCGTAACATGCCGCTGCGCACTAACACCGATGCAGGCACAGCACACGCCCACCTCGCAAAAGGAGGAAAGAAGGCGGAGAGCCCCCCGTCCCCCTCCTGCGAGGCCATATCCTTTTTCCCTGGCTTTGTACACGAAATGGCAGAAACGGGATTTTCAAACATATCGCATATACAAAATGCAAACATGTCTGGCAAACGCAAATCCCATAAATGTTTTGTGCGCCTCGGAGGGGGGGAGTGGGAGGTAGAAAGGGGGATGTAGGTGTGGGTGTGGGTAGTGATAAAAACTTGCAAAAAATATTTTCATATGTGAAAATGTGTAAAGTGTAAAAGTTGTTCTCCACCGCTCGCATCTCGTGGCTCCTGAATCCAGGATCCTGCATCCTGGCTGCTGGCTGCTGGAATGATTCTGCCCCGTTGTTTTGCCTTCTATTCCACTTTGTTTTTTGCGTTGTGTGCTTTGCCGCTTTTTGTGCTCCTCTGTTTGCACTGTGTGAGCATCAGGTGCTGTGGCAAAAGAAATTACAACAAATCCATTTGTGAAATTGCAAACCGAGACCGAGCCATCTCCTCCGCTTATCCGCTGCTCTTGATGGCCTTTTCGGACTTCCTTTTGGCCCAGTCAGCAGCGACGAGTGTAGTTTTGGGAGCGTGGTCGAGTTGCGTTGGGCGTTGTTACGTTACTATTATTTTTGTGGCAGCCATCGGGCGTTGATTTAGTAAATTCGTTTAGGACAAAGTTGCGGGAGCACACTATTTCGCTTCGAATAATTTTCGAGCAATAACCCAGTGAAACAAGCTACATGCTACATAATATTAATAAACAACCTATTTGCTTGGAATGAGTTTATGTTTCATGAGGAAACCGATCAACCAGAGATACAACATTTTTAAAACGGGGATATAACTTGAACCCTAGTTGCCTAAATATTAGTTCATGAGTATAACAACTTTGTGGGCTTTAAGTCTGCTGCAATCCTTAGCAAATACTTAGCTTAGGTGATTACTACACTCCTCAGCGCGATCGGAACTAACTAAAGCAGGATGTTTAACTCTGGTTTTTTTCCCCTGTCATTATGGACTCAAAAATCCAGACCCAGAGCTACTCACTCCTGGCTGTCGTTTGCCTGAACCAGCATTCATCTTACTAAAGTTTGCACAGACTCCTCCCAATCTCTCTGCCCCAAAAGCCATCCTGCCGAAGCATTCCCTTGGCTCATTCCCCGTGCCGAGAGATTCATCAATTTGCCGGGGAAGCCAGCAGAGCAGAATCAGCAGCGGTAACAGCACCAGTCGGCTGTCTCGAAAACAGGATACTTGGTACTCAGTTGTGTTCTTTCTTTTTGGCTCAGAAATCTAATTATATAATAAGCACGACGTACTTCCGCCATGCGAGCTGCAGTGCGAATATTGGTATTTGTACCTTCCTTGCAGAAGATGAGTATCTCTACGTCATGTCGCAAATTTGATAAGGGATAACCTCGAATGTACCTTCAGTTGGACTGGAAAAGATGGTCAGGTGTGTGGCTGCGTTGCTGGGTTGATCGAATCCCGGTTCGAGGGCCTCCCTCTCCCCTTTTCCTGCTTGCAAGGAATCGAATATCCCTGGCTGTTCTGCAGGAGTTCGGTGCAAAAAGCGAGGGACTGAGGCGAACATTTTTCCGAGCTGCCGTTGCATCCGGAGCAGCTCGGATATAAATTTGCAGGAGCCAGTGCAGAGGGGCCTGCCTGGTCAGAAAACTACACACGTCAAATTTCAAACAAGTTCGCCTGCCGCAGGACATGCAACAAACGGCCAACTTCCAGACACTGGTAGTCGCAAAAAATCCGGCCATCGAAATGCAGGAGCCCTGTTGCCAGACTCCGGCGGAATTCGGGAGAGGGCGGGAGGTACAACACCTGGCATCCTGTTCTTCGCCCTTCCTCGTCTTACTTCACGGCGGCAGCCAGGCAACAATGGAAGCGGGCAAAGGAATTCCTGGGCTCGGGTTTATGCATAGCTCAGCAGAGCAGCCGAAATGCCTGGGATTTAAATTTAAGGGCCCGTAGGACAGGTTTAAGGTCAACAGAGTTTCTTGCTTAAAAATCGTGCATTGCGAGCTGGCAGTCGAGGGGAACTGTGGGTCCCGGCCTCCAAGACCGAACTCAAAAGGCTTTAAGCCCAGCTGGGCTTACTAATTGAACGAAAACAGCATTACGGCTCGAGATGTTGGCCCTCCGGACAGAATCGAGAAATAATTTCGCCTGATTACTTGCCATTTCACTGCATTAGTTACCACGTAGTCTGAGCGAATATCGGACGGACACTCTCTCTTCTCCACTCCAAACTCCGGCAAACAGGCCCGACTTTGCCCATTGAAAAAGTTTCCCGGCCGAAACAATAACTGCAGCTGCATCACGCCCAACTTTTACGTCCCGGCCACCTGGCGTTCCTTTTTGGCAGATCTAAGCTCACGCCGGGTTGGGGAATTGCAAATAAATATTTCAACTGCAGTTGCAGATTATTTTAGTGCCACGGCAACTCGGAGCGGGAAACTGGGAACTGGGAACTGGGAAAGTCGTAACAATGCGGAGTGGCCCGGCTGAGGAGGAGCTTCTGGGGAGCAGCAACTCAGCTCAGATTTCCCCCGGGAGCCATGATAAAGTGCGCCCCGTAATGAAGACAAAACGCAGAGCTCCGGGGGGAAGCAACTTGGGGTTCGATCGCAAGGAAAGGCAAGGATGCCTCCGTTTATTCGGCGCACACCGCACGGCGCACAGGTTCGTCTACTTTCTGTCCAGGTTGTAGTTCCTCAGGTAGATGCCGGCCAGCACCTCCTGGATGCGCCGCCGCCGCTTGTCCTGCATGAGGATCGAGACCAGGTGCTTGGGGCTGAGGCCCCGCCGGGTCTGCCGCTCCAGGGCCTCGGCCTCCTCCTCGCTGATCACGTCCTCCTCGCGCTCGTCGGACCCCTCGGCCACGGCCACGGGCACCTCCTCGGCCGGATCCTCCGCGGCACTGACCACCTCGGAGTCGTCAGAGTCGAAGAGGCTGCCCTCGGCCAGGTCCTCCAGGCTGAGTCCCTGCAGCAGGTCGGTGATCGAGGGCACGAAGGCGCTGCGCCGGGAGCTGGTCGAGTTGGAGCTGTTCGAGCTGGGCAGGTAGATGCCCTGCATGTTGTTGGGGTTGATGATCAGGTAGGTGGGTCCCCCGCCGGCGCTGTTCATGTACTCCATTCCGGGGAACGGCGGGGGCGGGCGGCTGGGCGGTGGGGGCGGTGGGTAGTAGGGGTAGTAGGGGTTGTACGGGTTGTGGTGGTGGTGGTGTCGGTCCGCGTCGCGGTCAGGGTTGGAGCTCGGCTGCTGCACTATGATGATGGGCTGCTGGCTGTTGCGGTGGCTCTCCTGGTTGTCGCCGCGCTTCAGGTTCCACAGCAGACGGGGCACGATCTTGGAGAAGCCTGCGGGGGGAGGTGCCGGTTAGAGTCCTTTGGAGGTGACCGGGGGCACTTACCACTCTCCTTCTTGTTCTTGCCACTCGAGCTCTGCTCGGCAGCACTGAGGGCGCAGAGGGCCGCCAAAAAGATCGCTACTCCGAGGACTCTCATGGTATATCGGTTCTGGGATTTGCAGGTGACTGTGCTCGGCTACTGAAGCCCTTGTGGCTTTTATACCGAATGCCCACCTGGCACTTCTGCGAATTCCACCGCGACACACAGCTTTTGTTCTGGCCAACTATGCGTACTCGCAATTAGTGCCTATCGGCTCGTAAATCAACTTAATTCGCAGCGCACTTCTGCCCTCTGTTTATTACCCTCGTAAAGTTGACCCTCGTCTTGGCAAGTCCAGCTTTCTTTCCCTTTGATGCTTTACTCAGCAATAAATAGGCATCGAGTAGTCATCTGCAGATTACTTCGAGATAAGGGAGCCTACAGCCGCTCCGGGCGCCTATGTGGTTTAGTTTAATCGAAGGCGATTCAGATTCTGATTCATGATCTGTGCCGCACAAGCCAACAGTCGAGCCGATCATTTCGAGCCAATCATTTGCGAACTGGGTTATAGGACATTAACCTCGAATTCTAAACCGCCTAGCCAGTGCACTGAACTTAAGTCAATTGTTGTAGGCAAAAAGAAGAAACCTATCTTTAATTAATCTTCGGTTGAAGTGTGCCACAAGTGCCTACACCCATAAGTCAACCAAAAAGACTTTTATTGTACAAAAATGGATGTTGAAACCAAAAAGACTCCATCGGGTGCAAAACAAATATACGATACGTTAACGTCAAAGTTTTCCTTTTCAACTAAATTTAGAATTTGGGTCTCGAGAAAAAAAAAATATGATTTTAATTTTTTTGAATTATAAAATCAAGATTTTTTGGCTGGGTTATATTATCTTAGGGAGGAATGTATTAAAATGTGCCTTAATGTATCAGGTTAATACGAGTAAATATCAAATTGAGGTTATGCAAAAGGTATTTAATCTATCAATGCAAAGTTAAAAACAAGAAAGGAAGCTAGCTTCGGCAAGCCGAAGCTTATATACCCTTGCAGTCATCAAATATTTCGAAAATTTTATTTGCTATTCAAGAGTCGTTAGAAAACTCTATATTCCAAAAATCATGATTTTCTGATAAGAAATAACAATGTTATCATGTTATTTCCGTTAATTCTATATAGATTTTTCGATCTTTCTTATGGCAGCTATATGATATAGTTGTCCGATTTTTATGAAATTTTTTTTATAAATCAAGGCTAGTTAAAAAACTTGATACTCAAAAAATCATGCTCGTGGGATAAAAAACCGCGTTGCTATCAATTTATTTCCATTAATTCTATATATATTTTTCGATCTCTCCTATGGCAGCTATATGATTGAGTTATCCGATTTTGATCAAATTTAATCTGAAATTCAATAACAGTTGGAAAACGCCATCTTGAAGAATTCAAGTCGATCTGATGAAAAACAACGGCGGGAGAATTTTTCATTTCATTCCCTCGTATGGGAGCTATCCGATATAGTCGGCCGATCCGGCCCGTTCCGACTTATATACTGCGTGCAATAACTACACACCTTTTGGGAAAGTTTCAGCAAGATAGCTTTAAAACTGAGAGACTAGTTTGAAGAGAAACAGACAGACGGACAGACGGACAGACGGACAGACGGCCAGACGGACAGACGGACAGACGGACAGACGGACAGACGTACAGACGTATTCTGATTCTACTCGTGATGCTGATCAAGAATATATATACTTTATGGGGTCTGAGGTGTCTCCTTCACTGCGTTGCAAACATCTGACTGAAATTATAATACCCTTTTGCTCTGCAAGGGTATAAAAAGGGCGTAATAATGATGACCTTTTTAGGACTATGGTAAAATCCTTTAGAACTTTTTGTTTTGAAAATATTTATTTATTGTAATAGCTGTGACATTTCCTCAAAAGGTCGCGGCTTTCCGTCACTGATTCCATTGATTCCCCGTTCAAATTCCACTTCCTGATCCCGACATAAATTTAAGAGGCCTTGTACACAGACAGAGCAAATACTATCAGACAAATATCCGTTACGACCCTCGCAAAAGTGAGCCATTTCAATCTACGTAGCCAAAGACCAAAGACAACAATAAGTCCTGGGAATCACACGAGGTAAATATTATTTAAAAAGCAAAACACGTAGGCTGCACAAAGTACAAATCGCACTCAATCAAAATCACCTCAAACCGCAAACAGTTCGAAAGCTTTCCACATTACTGCCAAGGCGGTTCAAGAGGCGGCCGAAAGTACAAATAAATAAGAGGGTAGGACCTCAGCTTCGCAGGAGGGGAGCAGCTCCATCCAAGGACCTAAAACAGAGCACCGAAAGCCGAACACAGAAAACTGTCATGTACCGGGATTTAACAGATTTAAATTCTATTAGGTCAGAGCATAGAACAGAACAGTAGAAAAAAAGGGGAGGGCAGAAAGCAATCTTTTTTCCGAGCCCCTATGGAAAACTCTTTGAAAAGCTGCCTCTTATTATTGACCACAGGCAGATGGAAAGGAAATGCTCTTGGTTTTGCCCACTGCGCTCCAACTGGTTTCACTCGGCTTTTTATTAGTAGACCACTAGCTAATAAAGATCAAACGAACAAAGGGTAGGTTTTTATGGCAAAAAATTAAAAAATAATGTCAAGCTGGTTTTATCCTATTCCGATTCAGACACTCCCAAGAGCAAAACCATTCAGCAGTAACTTTTGTTCGTGTATCTTGAGGCTTTAGATTAGTTAAGCTATACACAGTTTTAAGTAGTCAGGGCTTTCAGCACTTTTAAAGATACTCATATACAAACATAAAAGAATAAAGTCAGTTGTTGTTTAACGCTTAATCAAAACAATCACGTTAGGGAACTGATTGGGTTAAGTGGAACACATTATACTCAATATAATACCTAAAAACGAATTACTTGACAGAACCTGATATCAAATGTCCCATTTACTTTAGTTCCATTTATTTTATGCTAGTCATAACAGCAATTTTAGAGACGCCTTAGCTGGGTTGAAATAAAACCCTCGACGCAATATCATAAAAATATGCAGCACCTGCACCTGTCATAGAAAGAGTGAATTCGTATCAGGATGTCTGTCCTAAATTTTACCTTCTCTGGCATTTTTTCGCAAATTGACAAACAGAACTGAGCTGGGGGACCCCCAGCTTAATTCGACAGGTGTGGCAATGCAATGAGGTGACTAGAGTGTCCAGATTAGAAGACAAGGAACTCTCTGCTGCGTTTTGTGCTTAATTAAAGTTGATGTGGCTTGGCCAACTTTCAGATGTGTGTATGCTGCAATGGCCTTAGATTCAAATGAATAAGGAATTCCACAGTTTCAACCAGGGACCGGAAAGAACTGTCATTTGAAAGTTTAAAACTTCAAAATTATTTAACATCAATTGGAACTTATGTTGACTTAATATGTTTATTATATGACGCTACCAGGAAAAAACAAATCGTGTTATTTAGTGTAAAGTATAGTTGGCATTGTTAGTAACTCGGCAACCACTGGCCAAATTCATGTTTAAATGTTTAAATAAAAAGTAGTAAGTGAACAAGAATTTGTAAATAACAATATTAAATATTTAATTAAACTTTTGTTATTGCTTTGTTTGATTCCGGATGTTGCAATGCGTGTTTGTTTTTGTTTGCCATTTACTTAAATTTCATGTTTTATGTTGGCCAAATGTAAAATCTGCACGCTTTACAAGCTTATCGGGATTTACCCCATGACTTCACTTACCTTCCTATAAAGTTATCCTTTTTTCTCTGATTTTAAAAGGATACTGTATTTGCTGCTTAACCTTAAAATGTATGGATGTACTTACAATGTCGGCTATAAAATGTACTGTATAGTGCACCTCAAATTAAACATACTAAGAACACATACTCGTATGTCGATTTTCTTACTAATTTGACTTTTCTATGGCACTTAAACGATATAGCGAAGGTAAAAAAGTTCGTCAACTTCGAACAGAAATACGTGCAGGGGGTATTATTATTCAGTCAGAAACTTACAACGCGCTAAAGTAGACAGTCCGACCTCATAAGAGATATATTATATATTCTTGATCAGCATCACTATTTGATTCGATTTAAAAAAGACAGCCATGGTTGCTGCATAAAACTGGCAAACACAACACTTATTTTCTGTTTTTCTTCAACTTAAATCAAAGAGTTTGCTACACACAGAATATTCCGTATTCCGATTTTAACGATTTCCTGTAATTATTCTGTTTTCCTTCCGGCAGTACTTATGGTAATAATAATAATATTTTTGTTTCATTAAAAGGTGGTTTCAAAAGGTGGTAAACAACGATCCCGAGTGTTGAGGCACGTGTGTTGAAACTCATCTAAGTTATTAATTCATCATCCACTTTATACACTTTTTCTTTTTCTTCTGAAAGTTGGGGGTGCAAAGACTTTCTCTGTCACTTTTTTCTGGGAGCAAGCCCGGAACTATCGAGTTCTAAGTCGAATACGTCACGATGCTTCACGCTTAAATTATTATAGAGCTGCAAATACATTTGGGCCTCAGCTGCGTCGATGCCATATTGACATTTGCTCTGCTGATCCCACATCGAAAAAGGCATTTCCCTCCATTTCCTGCGCGCTTCCTCTTCTGTGCGGGCGCTCCTGTCGCGCTGCCTTTTCACTTCCGGAGCCGGACAGCCTTGCTTAGCGTCGGCTACACTGCGAGAAACAGGTTGGGGAAGGGCAGCTCATCCCGTCTGATTCGGGCCATGAGCGGAGAGCGAATGCTGGTTTTCCCAGTGCAGGCGGAGCAGTCTCGGCGGCCACTCAGCAGCACACATTTTCGCCAGCACGCTTTTCCGGTTTGCCGACGCAGCAGCAACTGGGGCAGGAGCACAGAAGGACCCACCCCCCACTCACCGCCCACCGCCCACCACCCACCAAGCACCGCCCACTCGACCTTCCTTGGAGACGGGGCCAGCTCACTCTAGTTCAATAAGGATTTCCGTTTCAATTCGTGCGCAGCGCCGTTGCCGTTGCCGTTGCTGATGCTGTCCATTTTCATTTATCGAATTTTTTACTTTGACGACCTTAAGGCCCGAGGCTCAACT